CGCCAGCCGCCCCGCGCCAGCCCACGCCCCAGCCCACGCCCCAGCCCAGTCCCCACGCACGCCACTAACGTGGGCACGCCACGTGCCAATGACACACATGCACCACACACAGAGAGTGTCAGCATGCCACACACACCAGATGCACCACACACACCAATACACACGTGTACCACACACACCAACACATGCACCCACACCACACACATACACACTACACATACAACCACACACACACCATATGCACCACACACCAATACACACATGTACCACACACACCAACACATGCACCCCACACACCACACACACTACACATACAACCACACACACACCATATGCACCACACACCAATACACACATGTACCACACACACCAACACATGCACACCACACACACACTACACATACAACCACACACACACCATATGCACCACACACCAATACACACATGTACCACACACACCAACACATGCACCACACACACCACACACATACACACTACACACACCAACACACACACCACATGCACCACACATAAACACTCCACACACCACACACATACCACACATACCAACATAAGCATCACACACACCACACACACTGCATACATCAACACGTGCACCACATACCAACACACACACCACTGACACACACAGACCACACACCAACACACACCCAACACACACCACTAATATACACATGCAACAGCACTAACATACACTGCCAACACACACACTACACACACCAACACAAGCATCACACACACCACTGACACACATCGCACACACACATCACACACACCACACACAGCACCTCAGTCCACTATAAGGACACAGCACCTTCCATGCACCTAGTACACACACACATACACACACACACACACCCCACACACAGAGCACCTTCACCATGACCACGGACCCTGCTGACAACAGGCGCTCTCCGGCAGGCCCGCAGGTCAGAGTTCACCTGCCTGGCTGCACACAGTGGGCCTGCAGGCTCACGAACACTCACACCCTTGCTCTAACACACATGCTTGCACTCGTTCTCACAAACATACATGCTCACACTCATACACACACTCCCAGACTCTGCCCCGAGGTCCCCACGCAACCCCACCTCTGCCTGTCTCCACACACCATGGAGCGGCATGCTACAGTGCCACCCCCCATCCCCGCCCGGCCTGCTCCCCACCATATGAGCCCAGAGTCCCCAGCCCTTGGGCCACCCTGCGAGCAGTGGGTTCCCTCCTGCCCTAACCGCCCCCGCACCCTGCCCTGTGCCGTAGAGCCCAAAGGCCGTCTGCCAGCACCTGGGCCTATGCAAACCCGGCCCACCCAAGCCCACGCAGGAGCCAAGGATGCCAGACCCTCTCCAGGACCCTCTGCTGGACCCTCTCCCGGACCCTCTCCCGGACCCTCTGCCAGACCAGCTGGTCCTCTCCGTGCTGCCTGCAGCCCTACAGGCACGGCCTGGGCCTCACACACGGGTGAGCCAGTTAGGTGGGGCTCTGGGAACAGGGCTGCAGTCCAGGCCTGCGAGCACTTGGATCCCAGGAGGGCAGGAGGAGCCCCAGGGGTCCTGAGGCAGGAGGGAGGCAGGAGGCAGGGAGGTGAGGAGGCAGGGAGGCGAGCCTGGACCAGCCCCCTCCTTCTGCTCCCCCAGGGTCTCTCCGAGCAGCAGTTCCCCATCCCCCTGCCCTTCTGCTGGCTCTGCAGGACGCTCATCAGGAAGATCCAATCCATGATTCCCAAGGTGAGGCACCTGGGCGCTCTGCAGGGCCCCTCTCTGCAGACCCCAAACCAGCTCACCTGTCGGGCCTGGCAGGCAGCCAGAGATCAGAGGGGATCTGCTGTGTGTGCACCACCCCCACCCCAGGGACCCCAGGCCCAGGCCCAGGCCCAGTAGGTGCCAGGCCTAGAGCTCATTCAGCTCTCATGCCAGTGTCAAATTGTGAAAGTGAACGAGGCCTGCATCCTGCAGCAGCTCACTCTCTGATGAAGGACCCCCCCACCACCATAGTCTCTGTAGAAAAGTCCCATTAATTCTTCAAAAGGAGAATTTCCACAATAGACCCCCACCACCTCACCCTGCCTGCATCCAACCTGGAGCCTCCCAGACCCACAATGACACCTGCCCAGAGGCCCCAAAGCCCAGGGCTGCCTTGCACTGAAATGGGGCCGAGGGAAGCATGGGTCCCACCCAGCTGGACCATGCAGACGGCCTGGCCACGGATGGGTCACAGCGGCAGGACCAAGGGACTCGGCAAGAGGTTCTTGGTGACCTCAGGGATGTTCTGGAGCAGCAGTGGGGACAGAAGTCTAAATGAGCGGGTTGGGGCGGGGAGAGCAGCACAGCAAGTGTGGACAACTCTTCTGAGGAGGCTTTCAGAGGGGAGACTTTGCAGATGGGTGAGTGCGGCGTTTAAAGGACGGAGTTGTGTTCACACGTTTGCATGCGGAAGACGGGATGGGAAGGGGAAGTCCCTGTGGCAGATGCTGGGGCTGGGATGGGCACCCAAGGATCAGGACGACCTTTGGCAGAGCAAGGGTTACTCACCTTCCCCATAGCAGTGGGGGAGGCCGAGCATGGGGTCCCACGTGAGCAGGTGGGTAACCAGGGTGGGTGGTATCACGCCTCAGAGATGTGCCCCTGTGCCCTACTCCTACCTCGGCCTCCTGGCCCCGGGGCAGCCGGGAGGGGCCATGTTGGTCTGACACCCTGGTAAGAGCCAAGGCATACCACCCCTGTCTCTCTCCTTGCCCTTCAGCTTGGAGGGTGTGTTTGGAGTCCAGGTGAGGGACCAGGGGCTCCTAAAACCAGGGACACACTGGCTTCAGGGGCCAAAGACAGAAGCCAGCCCAGTTGGGGGGAGTAGAGCGAACCCTGGGACAGGAGGGGAGGCCATGGCTCTAGGTCCAGCTCTGGCCCAGGCTGGTGTGATGGCCTTGGTCACGCCCCCTCTCTGGGCTGGCCATGCCCCTCCCAGCCAGGCTATAGCCTGAGTCAGACCAGGGTCCCATGCTGGCTCCTGCAGGGTGCTGGCTCTTGCGCTCACTTAGCGACCACCAGGAGAGTTGAGAGCCCCCTGGGCGTGATCCTCAGTGTCCCTACCTGGAAATAGCACAGAGCTTTCTGGAAGGAAAGGAAGCGAGGGGCTGTGCTGGCAGCACGCAGCTGTGCCAGCACAGAAGAGGCTTGAGGGGAAGGTCCCAGCTGCCCTCTCTCCGCCCCTGCCCAGGGAGTGCTGGCCGTGGCCGTGTCGCAGGTGTGCCACGTGGTACCCCTGGTGGTGGGCGGCATCTGCCAGTGCCTGGCTGAGCGCTACACTGTCCTCCTGCTGGACGCGCTGCTGGGCCGCGTGCTGCCCCAGTTGGTCTGCGGCCTCGTCCTCCGGTGCTCCAGCGAGGAGACCATTGGTCCAGGTGAGCAGCCCAGCCACTGTCCCCCCCCCTCCTGCCGTTGCCCTGGCCCTCCACAACCTTCTCCCTCTGCAGTCCCCCTGCAAAGCACCAGGGTGGACAGGACCTAGACACCCCTGCAGGTGGCTTTGGCTGTTTTCTCCCTAGCCCTCGCCAGTCTGGGGTCCCTGCCAGAAGAATGGCTGCCACAAGACTCCGAGTGCCATTTCTGCATGTCTGTGACCGCCCAGGCCTGGAACAGCAGCCAGCAGGCCGTGCCACAGGCCATGCACGAGGCCTGCCTCAGCTTCTGGCCGGACAGGCAAAAGGTACGGGGTGGGCACTCAGGGTGGCACATGGGGTGGGCACCTCGGGGCAGCACACGAGGCAGGCACTCGGGGTGAACACTTGGGGCAGGCACATGGGGCACTCGGGGCCCAGCACCTGGCCGCGGTGGAGGGCTGAGCCCAGGAGAGGGTGGGCTGGACGGGACCCCAGATAGGCAGACAGGACGTGGCTCAGACAACGGCAAGACGGTGACAACGGGGAAATCTAAGAGTCGCGAGTCACCCCTGGACAATGAGCTGTGGCTCCGAAGGACCAGCAGGCCTCCCTCCTGGACTGAGCACGTGCAAGGCGAGGCCTGTCAGGCCCAGCGACCCAGCGCAGGTCCCACGCTGCCCTCGCGTCCCTGCCCAAGGGGGTGCTGACGTGGCTCTGCCCAGATGTGCCAGGATGTGACCCTGGTAGTGGGCAGTGCCTGCCGGTACCTGGTAGATGCCAGGAAAAAAGTTATGCCAGGGCCATCTGAAGCCAGAGAAGACCTTGGCCTTCTCTCAAGGGGGCCAGTCTCGTCCCAGCCCCTGGCCTCCTCGTGGTGGAACTCACTTGGGACAAGCCCACCTTCAGGAGGAGCGAGCTGAACTTGAGCGTCCCAGAGCCCTGGCAATGCTGAGTCCGTGAGAGTCAACAGCCTTCTTCTTTAAAAAATAAAAAACTTTACTTATTACTATTCATTTCATGTAAGAAAAAGACAGACGCAGGGAGATACCCCCGACAGGGTCCCCTGGCCGTGACCTGCCCCTAAGCCTCGGCCAGCCCAGAGCACAGCAGACACGTTCACTGGCGTACACAGGGAGGCCCCAGGGTGCAAACCCAGGACCTTTCCCATATAAGAACACTTAAGTTACCGCTGCACCACCACTGACCCCTAAATCCCCTCTCAAAGTAAGATGGTGTGCTGGGGCAGGCCGCCTGATTCTCTGCCCAGGGGGCAGCTCCGGGGTCGCTGGGTGTCCAACAGAAGCCCTCCCCTCAGCCTGCAGCCTGCTCAGGGCTTCACCTGCAGCCAGCACTGCTCCACGGGGGCAGGTCGGAAGAGAGCCCGGGGGTGATTCCCAGCCAGGACTGCAGCAGGAGAGTCCTGGTCGGCCGGAGCTGGAGCCACCCCCCGGCCATTGTCTGTCTCTCCTCAGTGTGAGCAATTCATGAAGCAGCACACAGACCAGCTGCTGAGCCTGGCGTCCAAGAGCTGGGATGCCCGCTCCACCTGCCAGGTACACCCGCGCCTCCCGACTGGCCCTGGGGCTTCCCTCGGGCCCCAGCCCCACCTCTCCAGTTCTCAGAGGCCCTGTCCCTTGGGCTCAGAGCAGCCTCAGGTGGGGCGAAGATCCCACCTTCTCAGGCTCTGAACCCCAAAGGCCTGTGGCTCACAGAGTGTCCAAGGGGTCAACAAGGTCACACTGAGAATGCCCACTAGGTGGCAGGTGGGGCTGGAGGAGGTTTCATGCCCCCTGAGAGCTGGAGTGGGGAGCTGAGGGTGCCTGGGGCTCTGACCCGAACGCTGTCCCCATGGCAGGCCCTGGGGGCGTGTGCGGCGGCGCCCAGCCCTCTCCAGTGCATCCAAAGCCCCAACTTTGGATAAGAACTCAGCCGCCCAGGTGAGTCCGGGCCCAGGGGAGAATGGGAGGCACCCCTGACCTGTCAGGGCGAGCGGCCCTCGTGTTTTCCCAGCAGGAAAAGGTGTCACTCCTGCTGGCTGCTCCATCCTGCTCCTGGGGGCACAGCTCAGGGCTCCTGGGAGCCCCTTCTTGGACCCGGTCATTCCCCTCACCCCAGAACCCTGCCTCCTCCAGCACCGGGCCCCATTCCAGCTCCCCTCGCTGCCCCAGCCCTCCACAAGCTCCAGCTCCAGCTCCGGCTCTCACCTGTGGCCTCCCCCCCAACAGACCGCTGACCTCCGGGACTGGAGTCACACCAAGGCCAACATTTCCAGAACTCAGGAGAAATCGTGTGTTGCCGCCCGAAGTTGTGTCCCCTCATATGCCAGGAACCGTCATCTGACCCTGCCCTCCCAAGACACGTCTCTCCCCAGCTGTCATTTTCTAGGTAGGAGGTAGCGCTTTAGGATGGAGAACTGTGAGACACAGTCTCTGCGACCAGGACCAGGGGCAGGGGATGACCCTGAGAGGGAAGGGCAAGCAGCAGTGGGCTCGAAGTCACCCTGAGAGCAAGTGAGGTCCACATGACAGCTGCTCCCAGCCAGCCCCTCCCATCATGCCATCCATTCATTTGTTCACACTTTATTACGATTTTTAAATTCCGTGAGTTCCGGGCCACCTTCTAGGAGCACAGGCCACTGCTGAGGATAAACAGTGAGACCCCTGCCCTCCTGGGGCTCACACCCAGGCTCACCCCTTCCACCTGAAGGGGAGGGAGTCCAGCCTGCTCTCCTGCAGCTCCAGAAGCTCCGCTGAAGCCTGGTGAGGGACATAGTCCTTTTCCCACCTTGCAGGGCTCCCAGTCCCCCCTGTTAAAACAGGATGAGCAGTGGGTGGGCTCGGAAGGCCTGGGCTCCAGTCCCAGCTCTGCCATCAGATGACTGGGCTTCAGGCAAGATGGCCCCTCTCTGGTCCTCACTGTCCTGAGCTACAAAGGGAGAGCCAAGTGGGAAAGGCTCTGGGCCCTCCCAAGCTCCCCCGATCCTGACAGGCTCCTCTTTAGCTTCCCGCCCCTCCAGCTGCCCACCCTGAAAGGCCGTTGCTCCCACGCTCGCCCTCCTCCCTCTCGTCCTCAACAGGACCTCACACGGACCCGCAAGCCCCAGCGTGTGCCCCAGCCTTTTCTGTCCCAGCTCCAACCATGGCCTGACACCAGAGCCATTCCTGTCCTCGAGGGTGGGAGACACAGCAAGGGCACGGTCCCTGCAGAGGGGCTCGGGCCCTCACACTGCCAGCCACCCCAGTTCTGAGAGTAAATCCACTCAGCCCAAGAGGATGGCAGGGTGGAAGCTGGGCCCTGCCTCACACCGACCCCAGGGCCTCAAGAGTCTGACTTTTAATTATTTGCTAACATTTCCATGAAATTCAAAGTTCAGAATAAACCTTGGGAACATAAGGTACTCTAGACAGATAAAATCCTTAAGCTTTTTCCCCAAATCAGGAACTCTTGACCTGGTCGAGGGCGGACACTGCGTGCATGACGGGGAGGTGTCCGGGCAATCCTGCACTGAACCCCGCTGTTGCTGGGCGCTGCTGCTTTGTGAAGGCAGAGAAAGGGCTTTCTTCTAAGGTTTAGTAAGGCGAACTCCCAGCTTCTGTTTGTAATGCCGAGGGTGACTCTTCTTTTGCCACGACGTGCCGTTCCAAGCTCGGGTGGGCTATGCAGTTCCCACGTAACATGGAGGCTGTAATAATGCTAATAAAGTCCTGTCCTCTCGAATGAAGAAAAGGACATTTCTCTAAGATGCCGCAGGAGCCCCGGCCTCACCCCAAGTCAGCCGGGCCGGGGCCTACCTCACTGCTTGACAGAGAAACAGATGCCCACATCTCCTCTCCTTGTAACAGCTCTCGCCTGGCTTCCCTTCCCCTCTGGGATTTCTGGCTTTGGAGCCATGCCAAGAAAGCACAGATTTCACTCATTTCTCATCTGCGCTTCAGACTCTAACCAGAGGCTGTGGTGTCCAAAAGAACAAGTGCATGCTGGGAGCGTGGTCAAGAAGACCATGGCCAAGCCCCGGCTCAGAGAGCAGTGATGGAAGCGAGCCGTGTGTCACCCACGGAGGACTTTCCTACTGCACACAGGACGTGATGGTTGACTCTGAGAAGAGGTCAGCTAGCTTTTAGGTGACAGTAGGCATTGTCACCATCTTGAGAGAGTGTAGAGACAAAATCGTGTGTGCAGAAGCACGGTACACAGCACAGACCAAGCACTACAGCGCTGCCTCCCGAGGGCCACGCCCTTCCATGGAAGGGCACACTGTCTGTCCTTTAGAGCTTAAGAGTGCAGTTGGGAGGAACCAGCAGTTGGTATAATGGCTACGTCGCTGGACTCCCACGTAGTCGACCATGGTTCAAGTTTCAGACCCGGTGGCTTAAACTCATGCCGGGAACGTGTGCGTACGTGCCCAAGATCCCGAGAGGAGAATGGAGGAGAAGGGATTGTGGTGTGGCCATCCCCCCTGGGGGGTGATTTCTCGCTTTCCGTCTCTCTGTTGCTCTTTTTGACAAGCGCATGTGCCCTATAGCAAAAACCTCTCCAAAAAAAAAAAAAAAAAAAAAAAGTGCAGTTGGGGAAATAAGCATTAATCAAAGAATCACAGGGGAAAGGACTTCTTCAGAGGTGATAAGAGCTCTCAAGTAAAGATGTACGTGGTAGAAAGTGCGTCTGAGCAGAGTTGGAGAAGAGCAAGAACTGAAAAGGGAAGGAAGGAGAATCCCCAACAGAGGCAGATGGCAGGGAGGCCTGGTGTGTGGTACGTCTGAGCAACAGAACGAAGATCAGGGCGTCCGGGGTAGAGAGAAGCGGAAACTTCCTGAGAGCTGAGGTGAGAGCTAAGATCTTGGTCTATCCTTTTTTTTTTTAATTTAGAATTATTCCATTTAATTTAATTTTTTATTTAATTTTGTTTTGAAGTTAACCAGAGAGAGACAGAGAGAGAGAGAGAGAGAAGGAAAGTGAGAAAGCAAGCTGCCAGGTCCAGGACTCGAACTGCAGTTAGCCATGTGGGAGTCCAGCTGCCTTGACCACCACGCCACCCGCTGGCCCTACATCTTGGTCTTTCTATTTTAAAGAAGCCAATAAAGTGTTTAAGTGGGAGATCCCGGAGTGGGGATAAAGCTTAGATGTGTGCGTTGAAAGCGGGCAGGCCAGCTCCACGGTGCTGTGGTACTGCGCAGCTCAAGAGAAACTGGATACCTTGGGGCCAGATGGCGTGGCGGATGAGGACTCCCACCTGGCTGACCACAGTTCGAGTCTCAGACCTGGCAGCTTGCTTTCTCACTTTCCCTCTGTCTCTCTCTCTGGTGAGTGCACGTGCCCTACAGCAAATGAATAATAACAATAATAAATAAATAAAATTAATTATTTTTAAAAAAGAAAAAGAGAAACTGGATCCCACATAGCGACCACAGTTCAAATCCCTGACGTGGTCAGCTTGAAACACGGGTGGCACACGTAACAGTACCCCAAATCCTAAGTGCTGGAGGACCAGAGGTGGAGGATCACAGGGTGACAGAGCCTGCGGAGGGTGCTCCTCTGTCTCCCCCTCATGGCATGTGCACGTGCTCTCTCACGAGTGTGCCACTTGGACCCATCTATAGTCACTTAGAGCTGTAAGGCTGCTCGTGTCAAGAAGGGAGCAGAACAAGAGAAGCCAGATGACCCTCTGAGCGCTCAGTGTCTGTGGCCAATACAAATGTTGCAAGGGCCTCGCAAACACCAGCAGGAGACACGCAGTGCACGACTCCCAATTTCGGAGCAAGTCTATGCTTACTGAAGACATCTATTTTTTTTTTTTTAAGAGATTTTTGCTTCAGGGTGTGTGCTCACCAGACAAAGAGAGACAGAAAGTAAGAAATCGCCCCCCAGTAGGATGGACAGGCCACGGTCTCTTCTCTACTCTCCTCTCTGGAATTTGGACACGCACACACGCACACCCAACGTGAGTTTCAAGCCACCGGGGCCAGGACTGGTACTGCAGTCAACCACGTGGAAGTCCAACACCTTAGCCACTATGCCGCATGCTGGCCCCATGCAGACATCTGTTCTTTTGAAAGACAGCTGCTGGTTAACCCAGGGCTGTGGTAAAGCCCGATCTCGTAACCATGGTTCACCAGGTGACACGCAGCTGAGCCTCCCCTCCGGAACCAGCTGTTGTCTGACTCACCTGCCCACAAGGCAGGGCAAGTGCAGCTGCACCATGAACGTGAGCCAGTACGCAAGACCAGGCCAGGCAGGTCCGAGGGAACCAGCCTGTGAGCAGAGGGCCAGTTCCTCTGACATCCACTCCCTTGGTCCATACCTGTGCTTCCTGGGGTGTCCTTAAAACCGGCTGACCGGGACCAGCAGTTAGCATAACGGCTATGTCGTTCAACTCCCATGTAGCAAACCACAGTTTGAGTCCCAGTCCCGGAGGCTTAGACTCACGTCGGGCGTGAGTGCATGTGTCTGGCCCAAGATCCTGAGAGAATGGAGAAGGGATTGAGGCACGGCCATCCCCCTTGGGGGGTGATTTCTCGCTTTCTGTCTCTCTGTCTCTCTGTCTGGCAATCGCGCACGCCTGATAGCAAAAACCTCTCAAAAAAGCACAAAAAACAAAAACCAGCTGACCCAGCTGACCCAAACCAGCAGATGGTGTAATGGTTACGTTGCTGAACTCCCACGTAATCAACCATGGTTCGAGTTCTGGACCCGGCAGCTTACAACTCATACCAGGTGCATGTGCATGCATGCCCAAAGTCCCAAGAGGATAATGGAGAAGGGATTGCAGCGTGGCCATCCCCCCTCACTTTCTGTCTCTCTGGCAAGCACATGCACCCTATAGTAAAAAAATTCTCTAAAGAAAAAAACAAACCAGCTGATCAAGGAAGACCGAACTCAAGCCTGGTTTCTCGATGGGCTTGCGCGGCTTGCTGGTTCGACCCACATGTGGACAGCCGCAGCACTTTATCCCTAGCCTGAGGTGCCATGGGAGGACGGTAGTGTCCTTGCAGGTTTTGAAATATTGTTTGTTTGCTGCATTGGGAGAGCAAGATGGCCGGAAGTACAGGTCCAGATTAACTCATGGCAAGTTACTTGTACTTTGTCCAGATGATCAAGGATTCAGAAGGAACAGGACTGGGGAACCAGTGGGTGGTGTGGTGAAGGCGCTGGATACTCTCACATGGCCGACCACAGTTCGAGTCCTGGATCTGGGGGCTTGCTTTCTCACTTTCCCTCTCTCTCTCTGTGTCTCTCTCTCTGTTCAAATTAAAATAAATGAATGAATAAATAAAAATGAAATAATTCTTTTTTTAAAAAAAAAAAAGGAACAGAACTGAAAGCCGGGTAAAGCCTGGAGGAGGTGCCTGATCAACCTCCTTAATGAGTGTGTACTGTGAAAACACTTGTTACGTAGGAGTGCCCACCAAGGCCTCCAGTGGAAGGCTTCTGCACAGCCAGGTGTGCACACGCGACATGCTCAGAGGGTGTTTATCAGCAGCCTTTCTCCAGCATCCCCAGTTCCTGCTCAGTGAGTGAGCCCATCGGCCACAGTGGCAGGGATGAGGCCATGCATGGGCTCATAGCGTGGACCCCCCCTCCCCCTAACAGAAGTAACTGATGGGTATGTAGCTAGCTGAAAGGTGGAAGGGCTTACGGAAGGCTCAGTTACAGCAATCAGCGCTGTGTTTACAGGAGGCAGTAGATGCTGAGTCACAGACCATCATAAGGTGCCAAATACACAGGTCTAGACGACGGGAGGGTGGGTGTCGGAGTGACTCCTCTATTACCTCTGAAAACCTCCTTCCGTAGAGAGAGATTTTTGCTATACAGCACATGTGCTCACCAGAGACAGAGAGAGAGAAACTGGGAAATCCCCCCCCAGGAGGGATGGCCATGCCACAATCCCTTTTCCTCCATTCTCCTCTTGGGATTTTGGGACACCTGCACACGCACCTGGTATATTTTAAGTCACCAGGTCCTAGACTCAAACCGTGGTGGACTAAGTGGGAGTTGAACAATGTAACCATTACGCCTTCTGCTGTTCTCTACCTCTTACAGAATTCTTGCTCCCTGTCCTGACAAGGGGCAGCAGCTCAGATCTCAGTCCTCAAGGATGGCATCCACCGGGGCACACAATGGTTCCAGTGAGCTGGGAAATGAGATGCCTGGACATTTGGGGCTCGTGATGCAACTGAACCAAGAGAGGGCAGGACGCGTGTGTCCATCTGCTTGTCAACAGCTGATCCTTATTACGAGACTGTATTGCTTCTAGGCAATACAGTCAAGTGGGTGATATCTAATAGCTAAGGTTAACGGAAAACTACGGCAACCATAAAAACAGAAAGGACGATTGGGGACTGAAGATTTGGGTCACACTACCAAATAAAGAGCCTTGACTGAGGTTCAGGCCAAGGATGAAAAAAAAGAAAGGAAGCTATGTGGATGTTACAGCCTTGGTACCAACCGCAGAAAGCACTGCAGCCGCTCTGCTCGCTCTGCTGGCTTTTATGCACATACACTTTGCACATGCTAATCACTTTTCTTCTTCCCGTGTCTGTTTTCTACACAAGCTGTAGGAAGTCAACTTTACAGCTTAGCCTCTAGGTAACGAGATACTCAATCGGGGACTGACTAGATTTGAGGAGTGCCAACACAGCTGGCCACGGCTACAGTAATGCCAGGGACAGCATCTCATTTGGGGACCAAGTGAAAACTTGCCCACTTACCAGAGGGTGGCTACTTTCTGTCAGGCAAGAGTATGGGACTGCCTCCTTTGGTGCTGCTGCACGGGAGTTCAAATTTAGGTGGAAGCGTGTACAGGGAAGGGGTCAGGGCAGCCTGCGCCACCGGCTCTCTCGCCAAGCTGGGGTAGGAATATGTCACCTTGGTCAGACACTTTGTTACTTAAAGATGAATGCATCCTTTTTTTTAAAAAAAGAATTATTTAAACTTTTATTTATCCATTTATTTATTTTAATTTGACCAGAAAGGGATAAAGTGAGAGAAAGAGAGAAAGTGAGAAAGCAAGCTGCTAGGTCCAATGGGACTCAAACCGCGGTCAGCCATGTGGGAGTCCAGCGCCCTCACCCACCGCGCCACCTGCCAGCCCCTGTATCTTTGATTTCATGTATTTAAATGTTAGTTAGTTAGTTATAATTTGACCAGAGAGGGACAGAGCAAGACAGACAGAGAAAGGGAGAGAGAGAGAAAGACAAAGCAAGGCACCAGGTCCAGGACTCAAACCACGGTCAGCCACGTGGGAATCCGGCACCTTAATCACACCAACTGCCGGCCCCTGTATCTTTGACTTAATGTATTTAAATGTTAGTTAGTTATCATTTGACCAGAGAGGGACAGAGCAAGACAGACAGAGAAAAAGAGAGAGAGAGAGAGAGAGAGAGAGAGAGAGAGAGAGCAAGAGAACACGTGCCCG